ATGTTGCTAAATATAGCAAGAAAGTCACCGAGTTGGCAACAGTGGGGTGAATATTGTTAACTGCAAACATTAACAATATTCCTGGTGGGCCGGTCTGTCAGTCAAACCTCTCACTGCAGAGCAGAAGAGAACAGAGGCTGATTTATAAACCTTTGCTGATGAAGAAAAGATCAGGGGATAAGATCAGCTTCACATGCAAGTATCGGCCAATCACGATCCCCCAAAATTAAGGAAATCGGGGCCCAGAAATCAACTAGTCAATAAATCAGTTGGCCAATAAATGTATCCTATATTATGCATGTATATAAATGTAAACAGCACTGCCAGAGATGCGCTAAGTTTATAGCAGGTGTGTGAATGATCTAATGATCGGACTGCTGACTGCAGCCAGTCCACATTGTTAGCAGAACTAGAAGGCCCCAAAACCACATTTTGTTTAGGGCCCCATGGAGGGTTGGGCCGGCCCTGTCCTCAGGACAGGAGAGCCATCCAGGCATTGAACAGATACTTAGAACAAATCAGTGTTTGTATACATACAGCTGTCTCCAGCTGAACAGAAACAAAACTGAAGTTATCTTTGGACCAAAAGCAGAATGATCTATAATCAACATGCAGTTTTTGTTTTTACAGCTACAAACTGGCAATCAGGCCCGAAATCTGGGTGTAGCGATGGACTCAGACCTGAACCTTCAGAGACACATAAAGACAATTAGAAAGTTTGCCTTCAATCATATGAAAAATATTTCTAGGTTTAAAGGATTAATGTCCCAGCAAGATCTATTCTAGAGAAACGTATCCTGTTATCAATCTTTTGTCAGGTTGATAACAGTGTCTTTGCAGGTCTGCCTAAAAAGCCAATCAAACAGCTGAAGCTGATCCAGAACACTGCTGTTCACATCCTAGAATGTGAACAGCAGTGAGTTCACATGAGTTCACCAGGTAGTTCTGAAGTCCTTCTCCTGACTCTGTGTAGGTCAGAAAATAGACTTTAACGTTAGTTCATAAGTCACTAAAGGGTTTAGCACCAGGGCATTACATTAGTATTGTTGTTTCTAAACAAATATGAACTTGTTTTCTTTGCATTATTTGAGATCTGAAAGCACTGCATTTTTTTTTACCATTTCTAATTTTTTGCAAACTGCAAATAAACACTACATTTTTGCTTGGAATTTCAGAGACGTGTTGTCAGTAGTTCATAGGATAAAAGAACAATGTTCATTTCACTCAAACATGTATCTTTGAAAAGTAAAATCAGAGAAACTGATAATTTTAAGAGGTCTCTTAATTTTTTCCAGAGCTGTAAATGGGTGTACAGACATGGCTTGTTGGGAAGTGCAGACACACAGACTTCCAGTAATATGAAAACATGAATAATTGAAATAAAGAATGCATTTTCAAGAGAGAAATCGAGGAAGAGTGGCTTGAGAACAGTTGGAACGTATGAGTCTTAGTACAGGCAAACACCTACATACACAATCATACAGTAGATAGATAGATAGATAGATAGATAGATAGATAGATAGATAGATAGATAGATAGATAGATAGATAGATAGATAGATAGATAGATAGATAGAATCATGCTGCTGTATGTGCTAATTTGTGTGTTTTTGATGTGCAGATGCCTGTGATCTCACCTGAGGCCTGGAGGTGGGGGGTTGCGTGTGTGTGCGCCGTGGCCGTGGTCGGGAGGCAGTGTAGTGCCTTAGAGTCTGTCCCTGACTTGGTAGAGGCTCCATGGGAGAAACAGAGAATCCAGAGCCAGGGTGGGGGCCTGTGCTGGGGCTGCAGCCAGGGAAGCGAGCCTGTTGTCCGTTTAGGCCTCCACCATCAGCTGTCTCCTGTTTTGGAGCTTTATAAGGGATGGAGTAGATAGGGGGGCGGCTGGGAGGAGGGCTGAGCGATGCTCCACTATCTCCTGATACTGCTTCTGCAGTATCCGCTGATGCCACCTCCCCCTCCATCAACCTCCTCCTCCTCTGTAGTTGGGGGGAGGGGGACAAGGAAGTAGAAGGGGAAAGGGAGGGACTTGAGGCTGAGAGTGGCAACTGTGGGAGCGCACACCTTCCTCCTCCATCATCCTCTCTGGCAGCTCCTCCCCTCTCTCTCTCTGTTCTTCTCTCTCTGGTGTGTTGCTCACAGTCTGCATCCAAGAGACCTGAAAATTAAGCAACATCACTGAGGAGAGGCACACAGAGGAATGGATGTAAGAAGAAAGGAAAGAAGGAAAGACTGGCACCTTAGCATTAGCCTAAGCATTTGATATCCTACATATATATTTCAACCTGAAAAAAATGCATACAGAGGGAATGTGGAGAACAGTGCAGCAAGAAAAACAGAAAAAGGAGGAGGAGGAGGGGTTAGTGTGGATATAAAGAGGGTGGGAGGATGAGTGTAGGGAGCTGAGAACAGAAAGGGAGTAAACAGAGCAGCAGATGGATGTTGTGGTCATACTGTACGAAAGAGAACAACACAGTTTTAGCATAGAGCCAAGAGATAACATAGCAGGCTCCAAGACTATCAATCCTTTACTTTCACTGTGTCAAAAACAAAATGTCTAAATTGAATAACACTTAAATATCTACCTCCAGTTCATTAACTAAATCAGTAAAACCAGGAATATTATTAATAAAATCCACATAAAAATGAGTATTACTTTAACTTTTACAGTAGTGAGGCTTTCACAAAACAGAAGTGGGAACTGAGAGCTGTGTCCAAAATCTGCCCATGTTTCCTTCACTTTCCTTCAACACTCCCTCCTCCATTTTCTGGTCTCTCTTTTCTCTCCACAGCTGAAAGTCAGTGGTGTGAAAGTAAGTAAGCAAGCTATGCTCCAATTAGTCAGACAATGCTGAGTGTAAGCCACAGATTGGTTACACAGGGCACAAGATACAAGAAGACAACAGCAGGGGACCACAAACTATCCTGGTAAACAGACTATCATGATGAGTTTGGTAGGAAAACGGTTTGAACTGGTTAGTCGACTTAAAATTTCATTACTGAATTAAACATCTGATCATATTACACTAGTATAGAGGATTTACCAGGGTACTCATGGGAGTTACTCATATTAAAGCATGCTGCTCATCCCACTGATGCATTTTCCTTGCAAATGTGGCGTATTGAAGGTGTGGCCCATATAGGACTGACACATGAAAACCCTGATAGTGATGTTCTGAGCTAGTGTTCAGAATATCACCATTTTGTTATAGGTTTTGGCAGCTCTAGAGGAGTTTATTTAGCAGCTGTCAGACAGGAAAGTGGGTAATAAAAGAGGGGAAGACATGCAGCAAAGGTAATCAGGCCGCAAATATGGAACATTTCAAAGTGACCAATTATTATCTGGGAATGCAACAACTCTGCATCTCAGTGAGCTGTTGCTAACAGTTGCTTTGTCTTACTTTTGATTGAAGCAGCAGGCCTTAGGCTCTTAGAAAGCAAACTGCTCCTCCAGAATGCTGGACTGTACTGCAGATACAGAGGAGAATAACAAGGAACAAAGTTAAAAGTTCACCTCATAAATATATGTTTATGTTTTCTAAACAGCACAATATGAGGAAGAACTAGTGTGTGTCTCTTACATCATCAGTTGGGAAATCACTGTCAGTCAGTCGAAGCTCTGGGATATTGATTCTTTGACCACTGGAAGGATTTTCGCTTATTAGGGAGTCCTAAACATGAAGTGAGAGAAATGTCAATGTTTACAACTGAATATTTACACACAGCAGGATTTTTCAGTCCAGATCAACACAATGCTGAATATATAATCGTGTTCATCATCCAATGAACAGTGGGACTGCATGAGGTAAATAACTGCTAACGATTTTGTGCCTCTGCATATTCTCAGTCGCTTGAGTCATGTCTACTGCAGCAGGGTTAAATGTAAAGCACACAGACTTCTGCTCAGGCTTTCCTGATGACGTTTTGATAGCTGTTGCTTGCTACGGGTTTAGTAATGCAGAATACAGGGTAATCCCCACGTTTTCCTGATTATTTGGTGATTTTTGTTGTACAGGATCTGAAAAATTTAAGAACTGCAACAATTTCAGTATTGTATGCAACACAATTCTCATGTTTAACAAAATGAGAATGTTTAGTTGCTTGATAAGAGTGCTTTGTTTTGACCAGTAATGGCTTAGCAGCTGAAAGATCCATTTTTGCACATTTGTAGTTTTATTCTCAGTGGAGAGTTAGTGGTTGTTTATCAGGGGTTACATTGTGTCAGCTGTACTAAATTAGACAATCTTAGTTTCAAACATAGTGTTTAGTGCAAAACCAGTCAGAGTTACCATCTTGTCCTGTGCTTCAGTCAGATCTTGTAGAATCTGTTCTATCATGCTTTCAACCAGAGTCACAGTCAGTGTTTGTCTCAATTCACTGGAAAGATACAAAACAGAGAAGTTGCAGTGTGATGTAGCCCATGTTTTACAGCACTCATATAAGCATTTTTACCAACATATTTTGAAGCCCATTCTGGATACTGTACCAGTATCGTGTGTTTTCGCAGATTAAAAGGTTCCACAGCTCAAACAGTGAGAAAACTCAGACACAGAGTGCTCTATCACCCAGGAAGTCACCAACAGGAAAAAAGCCAATCAACTTAAAGAAACAAACAAGCAAAACAGCAAAGCATGTGCAGTGGGCTGTTGTGAAAACACTGCATTTGATTTTTATTTTGTGTCTTCTGCTGGATAGCAGATGGCACACCATCTTCACTATCACCTGTTAAGAGCACCACTGTACAAAGGTAATAGCTTCTCTGTTGGTTAATGATAGCAGTCTTTCTGATATGTACAGTAAGAATGAAAACAATATAAACAAATAAGTAATGTGCACAGTTCAGCTATCTTACTACTTTATTCTCTTAATGCTCAGTGTAACAATCCCTGTTAACAGTGAATGGTTGGCTCCCCAAACTGGAGGGAAAGGTTGTTGTTCAGCAGAACAGTGAAGTTTGAAGGCCTGAACTGAATCAGTTTAAGAACTAGAGTTCTTTCAATGGAAAAGTCCTAGGCAGATTTAGAAACTGCAGCTGGTTAGGTTCACTTTGACTTCAACAATATGAAGTATGTGCAAACATTTACAAAGTATAGATAACTTAGAATGAAATAACTGGTTATATGCTAGACAAGACCAGACTAGATAAGATAAGATAATCCTTTATTGGCCCCACAAGTGGGAAATTAAAGCTAGTGAATTATTATGAAAATGACAACAACAACAAAAAAAATACATTTAAGTAACATGCACATGAGCTTAGTTCAAAAACAAAGTGCCCTTGTTTTTACCTCAATCTGGTGCTGATGATTTGCCCTGCGGTTTCCACCAGGGTGCTTCTTAGGAATATTCCTGCCTGCTTGCTTCTTTTAGATATGCACTCTGATAGGCTCTTGCAGACACTGGAGCGCTGCACCACCTTTGGACACACCGTTTCCGCATAACCCACCAAGTCTTGACCCAGCTCCTAAAACAATCAAGATCATAAGTTTAGATCAAGAGTCCAGAGTATGACAGGAAACACAAAGACCTCTTTCACAACTAAACCTGTAATGGATCTTTGATGAGTCACTGTGCTAAAAAACATGTTGTAAGTCCAGCACTTTAATAAACCAAATTTTACAAAACTAGTCTATACATATAAAATCTGTGACTATCAGATAATTTAATATATGTGTACCTGAAAGTCTTTTTTGATTTCCTGAGTTAGTACCAAGGCAGCATCAGATAAGATATCCATCACCCAGTCTCCATCAGGTGAACACTTCCTGCTCTCATCACACAGAGATGGAAGCAGCTGCATATGAAAACCCCGAAAGACAAGAAAGCAAAAGTGAGGATGACTGACAGAAAGTTGAAACTTGATTATTCTCCATACAGAATATTTTAAAACTGATTTTTTGTAAGTTACGATAAAATACACAGAGATTGTGAAATCTTAGACTCACAACAACATAATTTCTTATTTTTCCAAAAATGAAACTGAAACATTTACCTTCAGAGACTCTCTGGCATTTTGGAGCACTTCATGTGCAGCCATGATATCATTCTGGACTGCCTGGGTATTACAGTGGCTTACACGCTGCAGGGTGTCTTCCAGCTGTCGACACATACCTTGGATCATCTGAAATTAAGGACAAAATGGAAAAATGGAGAAAAACATATTAAAACTGGGGAGCCTGGCCTGAGCTGAGCTGAGCTGAGAACTGCAACAAAAATCTAATCATTTTAAAATAATTATTCAAAATGTGTCTTGCTTTTTCCTGGCTGTTTCCAGTGAAGACTGATTTTAAGCTAAAGAAGTCTCTGATGAATAAAAAAAATTGCTCACACTGTCACGCCTTGCTGCCACAGCCCCCCACATAGTTATATGGCAATTCTGCTGTAGATATATAAAGTTCTAAATGGTTTTAGGCCAACTTGCTTTTCAAGTGAGAACCCCTCACATCTTCATAGATCTGTTTACTCAGTATATAATGAGGTTTCATTTGTCCATTTTATCAGTCTCTGTTCAGTAACATTCATGCTATGCTGAAAATAAGAAGTAGAACATTCCTAATCTCTATTTTCGCCACATCCCGAGAAAGAAAATGTAATAAATTTTGATTAGAATCCAAGACATTTTGTGCACATACATTTTTGTTGTTGAGAAAATGTTTTAGTTCTAAAAACAGTCAATTTGTGTGTGTAGGACCTAATGCAGTGTTCCAGTTATGTGGAAAATCCAGCTGTAAGCACAGCCATGGTTACAGTATCTGTTTCATACCTTCTCAGACTGTTGGCTCCTGAACACCTGCTGGAGTTCCACACTGCCAGGATTTCTCATGTTGTTTCTGGACAGACACTGCTGAATCTGGACAAAAAATGATTAAAATGAAAACCACAACTTTTTCCTTCATTTCCAGAATAAATCCTACAACACTGAAAAACAGAGTCAGTTCATTTCCTATATTCCATCCTTGTTTAATTATATATTTTTATGCACACTCACATGCAAACACACTTAAATGAATAAACAACCTTGCTCAGGGCTTCTTTTGTTTGCTCTGGGTTGCTGCGGTAACTCTGTGTGATATCAGCCAAGGGAGGAGACATCTTCTGTAGAGTAAAGTTCCTACAAAACACAGAAAACCTCCATCAACGTGCATTTACAACTGAACACAAAAAGTTGTTTATTATACATGCCTGTACAGAAACATGGTCTATTCAGAAATGTGAGGTAAAGGTTTACAAATACATTCCTAAAAAGCAATTTTTCCCCACTTAGAGATTACTGAAGTTATTAGCCCTGTTAAGTCTTGATGCCAAAAGTTTTCCTGTGGGTTATTTTTCGGTTTAATGAAGATGTACCATGCAATTCAGCATCTAAAACAAGGGTGTCAAACTCATCTTCACTTCAGGCCATTTGAAGATCATGAATGAAAAACTGTGGCAAAATGTACAGATAAAACTTCCTACTAACAAACTTTTAGAATATAAATAAATAGCTGTCGTTCCATTCCATGAGGACTTCTTGGAATTAAATATGAAACATTTTTTCTCATTAATTTATTTTAGCCATATAGAGATATAACCGGGTGTGCCAATAATGACTGTTCATTTACATTATTTTCAAAATAACCCCACGTGGCATAGAAGGTGTGACAAGGAAGGTGTGCCAACAAAAGTGAGTTTTTGTCTTGCTTATCTATTTATAAAAATATATTTTGAAAGATTTTCAGCTTTTGTTCCATTTTCCAATAAGCCAGCAAGTTTCTGTCTTGTGGGCCCTTGCAATGGAGTCGTCAGTGAAGCCTGATCTTTAGGTAAATGTGGGAGACAAAATCAAAACAATACAAAATCATAATCAATATTTTAAATCTTAATCACACTTGTGTTAAATTTTTTTGTACGTTTTGTAAGTATTGGGGATACACTGTATATTTACTTAAATTCACACAGTAAAAATCTTGTATTGAAATATTTAGTTCTGTCAGTTTGCTTTTTCATTCCTCATAATGCCTCTAAAAGATAGATGATATTTCTTTATTTTTAGTTCTACCTCTGGCTACATATAAATTCATAATTCATGTTTGTTTGATTACCTATTGATGATCAAATACTAGTATGTAACTTTTGGAAATTTCCAAACTTCATGCATTACTTATCTCCTCTATCTTTATTGTCTGATCCCATTATCCGAAAAAGCAAGTGACACTAATTAGATGGGTAACACTTTATTTGAAGGTGGGTGAATAAGACTGACATGACACTGTCATAAAAACCTGTCATGAACATGAATAAGCCTTCATGAATATTTATGACTGTTGTCATAAAGCGTCATTCGGTAAATTATGACACTTTTAATACAAAGTTGACATTATTCAAAATGTCTTTGTTATGACAACTTGACATTAACTAAAAAATCATTACTGATATAAATTTTTTTATAAAAGTATTACTGATTGCACTTTAAAAATGAGGTAACTTTATGTTATTAAAGGTAAAGTTTAAACAGTAATGATTTATTGGTGACGCTTTATGACAACAGTCATAAATATTCATGAAGGCTTATTCATGTTCATGACAGGTGTTATGTCATGTTTATGAAAGTGTCATGTCAGTCTTATTCAGCCCCCTTCAAATAAAGTGTTACCATTAGATGTCAGTATAAATACACTAATCAGGTGCAAAATGTATTCTTTGTTCATGATGTCACATTTTATTTACTGCACAATCTGAATGTGATTAGAGGCTAAGGGGCACAAAGAGGCTGATTAAAAATTAATGTTTTGTATTTGTAGACCCAAAATAAAAATGACAAAAATTATCTCAGATTTTTTTCTATGAATCTTCCACCTTTGTACTTTATGTTGCTAATGGCAAATGTCCCCCCAATTGATGAGCTTGTATTTCCTGAAGTCTGTAAACGTGTGTTGGTCCAGGATGGACTGTAGAAGAGGTTCATATAACAGAGAACACATCTAACACTGAAAATCACTGAAATCTACTTTTGCTTTTGCCTGCTCCTGCTAGCAGCTGGCTGGTTAGGTCTGGTATATACTGGCAATGGTTAGGCTTGGGGTATGGGTGAGGCTTAGGCTACAGAAATGATTGAAAGACAAATGGAAGTTAATGAAAAGTCCTTGTGAATATAGAAAGATATAGTAAGTGTGTGTGTAAGAGCAATACCTTTCCAAGGCATCTGCCACATCCTGGAAACCCCTGGCAGTGACGTTGTTTCTGTCCCAGGTTAGAGACCTAGAAGGACAAAGACAAAGGTCTAGCTGCTGCAACCCCCAGAAAGAAAAAGCAGTTGTCAATAAGTTTGTAAAGTGCTCTCGTCACAATCTTGTCTCTATTTTTATTGTCTTTATTTGGTGAATTATAGGAATTTGACTTTGTTTTTATTGTCACTGTTAGGATAACAATTGAAGAAACAGTTTGGCTCTTCTCAGTAGCAACCTGATGAATTAAGAATAACAAATATAAAAAATCTGCTGCTGGTTGAGGAGCACCTGGCAGCTACTCACATTGATATCTTAGATTCCAAGGTAGAACTGATATAAACATGTTAGGTCATGTTTGCAGTTGAGAACTGGTTCTCCTGATTAAAATGAAGGTTAAATAAATAAATGTTTGGTTTTTTTGACATGATGTCAACACTTGTTGATGACTCAATTTTTTTTTTGTTTTAGCTTGGGTCATTTTCTGTTTTTCTAAATAAAGTAAAACTAAGCGTTACTTTATTTAAACACAATTTGACCACAATTGTTTCAGTGCCCTACTTCAATACACAATATTACAAAATGAAACAAATTTGACGATTTACAGATTTCTTGGCTCCCAATACCTCGGCTAACAATCCCTCTCTCATGCTGTTGCATATCTTGGCTCTAATTGTCATAGGAATATATGTTGTCTTAGGTAATAATGCTCCAACATCTTTCAAACACCAGCCAGGTCAGGCTGCAACAAATCATGACTGAATGTATGACCTTGACAACTTTGGACACTATAAAAACACCATGTAGTTATACAACAGTAGCACCATATAGTGCTACTGTTCAAAACAGTAGCACTATATGGTGCTACTGCTTTGAACATGGCATAAATGCCATCCTAATATCGCAGCGGTGACACAATATCAACATTATTTCATCTCATATGCAGCACAGGGACTGAATGCTGAATACATGGCTCAGAGAAGTTCAACCGACTTTCTGATTAATTCAGCTAATAACTGTTTGACCAAGAGGACAATTCAGAGAGCATTTAAGTTTTGTCTCCTGACCGCCAATTGATCCTTAAAGACAGAAAAAATATAATGAAAGCTTTAACATCATAGTCACATTTCTCATGTTAAGACCCATGTCACATGCATTATCTGACACACTGGAGTACTCAGTGAGACAGGAAACAACATGACATCAGATCAAGTGTTTCTGCTTCTTTCTGTACCTCAGCATGGTGTTGGTCATCAGGGCTTTTGCCAGCATTTTGGCTCCAGTGTCTCCAATATTGTTTCCACTGATGTCCAGCTCAGTTAGAGTAGCATGACCCCCTAGAGCGCTGAGCAGAATGTGCATCCCTGTTTTCAACTTAGAGTCAGACACTGAGAGAGACTGCAGGGGCTGCAGACATTCACATAGGATTGGCAAGAAGAAATAAACATGGAATTAAAAATCATCTAGAGCCCTTTACACTGCATTACATTAGTAGAGGCCTCAGAAAGCCCTCCACTAAGTATTAATTACATTTATATTAACAATAATATTAAATACTACAGTCTGATGAGGGTTTACAGATGTTTTCACATAGAAGTTCTGAGCATTGCTTTTGTGAATGTGTTGCTTGATGGCAGAGCAGAGCTTTGCGATGCACAGAGTGCCTTGAATCAGAGACAACCTGATGCATGTCTACAAAAACCAATACGCACATGAAGCAAGCAATGTCTCAGGAGGTTTTGACACAAGATTAAAGACATATAGATCAACACTGTCTAACAATTTTGGACTCAAAACTGAGATTAAAACGCGACAGAAATGAGATTTTTATATTTTATGCTTAAAACAATTGTCTTTTCTTGCTGTCAGGTAACAGTGACTGACACATCTTTGTTCAACAACTGATATCCTGTAAAACATTTTTGCGACTTTTTCTGCCCTGTAATAAGCATGCTGCTTCCTATGTGAAAGTAGCTTTCCACACTTTGGTGGCATGAATCTGAATATGGTTCTAAATATGAATTATGACTCAAGAAGGCAAGTCAATCTAACATTTTATGAAACTGTGCTGAAATGAGGGAATAATGTTAATAACTTACACTAAATAAATGAGAGGAAAATAACAATATCACTCACACACTCTTCATCCTGAATGAGCTGCGCTATACGATGAAGAAGGTCGGTGAGAGCTCTGATCCGAATTAAGACAAAAGCATGCAAACACATAGCAACATGTCAGGAACATTTGACAATAATTTGACAATAATTTACTAGTATGTTTGGAAAATATAAGAAATCTATTCCCAGGGCCCAAATCTAATTGAGCTTTGATACCTTCTGCAGGCCTGATCATTTAAGCTGCACCCATTATTTAGCACTTTCAGTTTATCTTCATGTTTTTGGCTTGGTAAACTGTAATAAGTAACATATAAATTGGATTCTTGTGCTGTGGGTGAGGGAGCTGCCCAGAGTGCAGCTCAAATAGCAGTATTATGTTTTCTGTAATTTAAAACAAAGCACATCTGTGAAGCAGGAGCAATAGTTTTGTTAACTGGAGAACCGGTGAAATTTGCTCCAAACTAATTATCAACAAGTCCTATTAAAACAGAGCGTAAACATAAATGTGTTTGTATGTGTTGAGTCTGATATACTGTCAGAAACATGAAGGAATACTATGAGTGTCTTACTTAATATGTGTCCTGATATTACTGCTTGTTTCTTTTAACCTTGTTCACCAGTGTCAGAGGAGGATTTTAAAACTGAACTGCAAAAAGTCAATTTGAGACAAAGTATCCATTACTGCTGCCAAGAGGAGGAATAGGAGAGCATGCAGAACATCATCGTTTTGTTGTGATCCACATCACACTTAGTAATATTTTACTGCAAATCTAGGTTTTCAATCATATAAGCAGCATTGATTTTGTTAACTTTAAAAAAGTCTCTGGATGTCTGTGACCCGGGTTCCATCTCTGCCTCCATCAGGTGCTGAGGGATGGGGCTGTGGTCTCCACACTCACTGCTGAAGCGTACCATGGAGCAACCTTAGTAACACAAGCATACTTATGTGATGCTTTTCTCATAGACTTGGAAATTTACTCACCCAAACTATTAGCTGATTTCAAAAGTTCTTATTGCAAGTGTGACAAACGTAAATGAATTTATTTTGAAGTTGTTGGTGGGGCGTGAGGTATGTGACGATGTGGGGAAGTGTTGAGTGTTTTTGCAAACTCATTAAAGATAAAAACATTTTTAAAAATTATGTTTACATAAATATTTTCTTATTTTAGTAAATTTGCAAAACTGAAAAAAAGATTTTCAACAATGTCATAATGAGGTATTTGTGTGTAGAATTGAGGAAAAATATTAATTTAGCACAGTACAATAAGGCTGTATCGTAGCTACATTTGAAAAAAAAAACTGAAGCGTTGTGAAACATTTCCAGATGCATTGAATGCTTGACTTTCACTCATAGGACAGCATACTCTGATATAAAGGGGCTGTAGCCGACAGCAACCAGCAGGTCACAAATGTCTCAATGTCCAACTAAGCCCTTAATCAGTCAGAGCTGTTTGGCAACATGGGATACATAATTGTATAGATGATTTGTTTATCTCAGTTGCTTAAACTAAATTAGCAGCAGATCTAACAGCTTCAGAGTAAAATAATTTGTGTGTCTTCTTCACAAGACCTGGATTTCATGGCAAAGTTCCTTCCAAGAGCAAGGTGATGAAGAGACTGGCATCGACCAACAGACAGAACCAGAGTCACCATGTCATTCTCAAAACCTGTAATTACACAGCAGTTGGTGAAACACAGGAGACACTGTCACAAAGCTGATAACTAATCAGATGGATTTTTGGTCCATATATTTTCAGGCAGTTCGTTGTTTTGTTTTAAATGGAAAATGAGAAAAAGGAAATAGACTTGTTTTTTCGTTTTCTGTTTAGAACACCAAAATCGGAAATTGGATTTGTGGACCTACACAGACCCTAACCTTTCCGATTTTGGTTTAGTAAACAAAAAACGAAAAAACAAATCTATTTCCGTTTTCTCATTTTTCATTTCAAACGAAAAAACGAACTGCCTGAAAATACACGGACCTTCCCCCCCAGGTGAGCTTCTAAATCATTTCAGGTACTTTTACTGTCCCTGAAAGGAAAAATTAAGTTTTTTTAGCTTGTAAAAACACACAGTTGTGAAGTTATTACTGGCAATAGTTTCCTTACCTTTGGTAGAAAGGTGTCATATCATCATTAGCTTTCTTAATATTAATGAGTCATTCAGTCAACCCTCTTTTCTTGACATGATTTTGCTAGAAGTTTCTTCCTGTTACAAGGAAGCTGTTCCTCCCCACTGTCATCCTGTGCTTTCAAATAATAGGGGATTGCAGTGAAGTGAACCTTTGTTTCAATCTGCTGGTTTCATATATAGACAGATTTGTACTAATTGGCAATTGATGATCAACTGAATCTCACTGTGTTGTTCTATAACTGGCTGCAGTTGAACTGTTTGTAACTGACTGTGAACGTCAGTCTAAATATAATTGAAGTGTTTTGGAATTATTTCTATTTAATTAGATATGTTTGATTATAAATTGAATCAGTGTATAATGCAATATGCTAATGCATTACTTTTATTGTTCAATCAGATTTATTTAAGTAAAGTGAAGTGCATTAAATTGAAAATAACTGTGGCTACATCACTGGAGTGCATTGTTGTTATTTTTTAATCAGAAAGTAGAAAGAAATTGTTACACTCCAAATTCAACAATTTCTCATTGTCTTATTTATTTGAACCCTGAACATGGAAGCAATTTTTGTTTTAAAAATATTTTTCTTTTGTTGGGTGATTCCCAGAAAGGGAGTCTGCCTCTGTGTCCACTCGGTTTGGACTTGGTGCCCCCTGTAGCTCGCCCTAGGCTTCACCCCATCCAGAGCAGTTTGTGGTGCACACAGTGTGGTTTTGCATACTGTTGTCAGAAATATCCAAACTTCTGATCGCTTTCGCCTCAGAGATGTGCTCCTGTATCACCTGGGCCCCTGCTGAACACAGCTACACACACATATACAAAAATAAAAAAAACTCTTTATGTTTATTACTGCTGCTTAAGATTATAACTTAAAAACCATGAAATTTGCATAACAGTGTGTTAGTGTGGTGTCTACCTCACAACTACTGAGATCTAACTCCAAACCAAAGAGACGAGTGTTGGTGGCAAGACCTTGCAGCAATAACCTGTTTGCAAAACAAGAAAATGATCCATATGTTAGTTAAATGTGCTGAATAACTGCTTCAGACAAACCTTACAAGCAAAAATACCTCAATAACTGACTTACTATGATCAAAAGGAATTTCCAGATTTGGGATATAACTTGATATCATGTCATTTTTTTTTTTACACACAAATTCAACTGTATTGATTTGTGTTAATTTCTTTATTGGGTTTTCTTCCTCATGCCCAACATTAAAAACACCCCTGCCAGCATCCATCCATCCATCCATCCATCCATCCATCCATCCATCCATCCATCCATCCATCCATCCATCCATCCATCTGCTCTCCTCCCACTGTATAGCCTATAACACCTCACCAGGGAGGCATCCATCCTAACCAGATGCTGAGCCTTTTCATGTGGCTCCTCTGGATGTGGTGAAGCAGCAGCTCTACTCCGAGTCCCTACCAGAAGACCGAGCTTCTCACCCTAGGGTGAGAAGCTCGTAAGGGTAAGGGGTAAGGGTAAGGGAGAGCCCAGACACCCTGCAGAGGAAACCATTTTGGCTGCTTGTCCCCAGAGCTTGTTAACATAGATCAACTACATAAGAATGAGAGCAGTTAAAAAAAGATCAAATAAAAACTAGACATCTGTCCCAGTCCTTAACGCCAGTCCTTGCTGTCTGGATGATCCCCTGGCCCTTTCTGTTTGGGGTCTCCATATTCCCTCTGAGCCTTCAGGGTTTCTCTGTGGGAGGATCCACACTCCGAAAACATGTTCAGGTAATTGGGGATCATGTTATTCATTGTAGCTTTGTTTTTAAGAGTGGTTCTATTCTGTATCAGTTCCATGAAGATATAGAGCAGTACACCTCACCTCTCAGTGCACCACTTGAATCTGTGCACCTTCAGTTCACGTTTTGTTGTTCCTCTTGTTTTTCTTTTTTTTAAATAAAAGTTTATTCTTGGTTTTGTGAATTCAGAATTCTGTGTTCAGATGTTTATGAATTATTTGTCAAATTAAATAGGTTCCGATAAAGAGTGGAACAAAGTGTAGAACTGTAGTTTTAGCAGGGAGTGAAACACACCTGAGAGCTTGTGGAGGTAGTTTGGTTGCAGACAGGCCAACGTATCTGAGCTCACAGCTCTGACTGAAGAACTCCTGGATACTCCTGGTCACCTCCCGCACTTTCCTACACACATGTAAAAAGTTGATTACCTCATTACTCTAACACTTATTCTGACAATGGACTGAGCCACAAAACACGTTTAATGTCCATATATATTATTTTGTTACATTTATTTTTGTCTTATAGTTATTTTGGTCATATCATCATCAGTTCGGAAAAGCCGTATTGTTCATATTGTTGTCATGGGGGAATAGGAAACATTAGAAACATTTCACAACAGTAAAAAACAAGGTGATGTTTTAGTCATCCGTCCATTAATCCCAACTATCCATGCTGGGTTGTAGAAGATGGCAACAACACACTAGACCAGTGTTTCTCAACCCTGGTCCTCACCGCCCCCCCGTCCTGCATGTTTTAGGTTTTTCTCTTCTGCCACACACCTGAATTGTATCTCTGGGTGATTAACAGGCTTCTGCAGCACTTGATGGTCATTCAGACATTTGAATCAGCTGTTCTGGAATAGAGGCACATCTAAAACATGCAGAGCAGGGGGGTGAGGACCAGGGTTGAGAAACACTGCACTAGATGCAGTTGTCCTCCCATTTAAAATAATTTTGACCTGTGTGAAAACTGAGACTGCCCTCTGTTGGATTTGTTAAGTATTGCATATTTACTCAGTTTGTGATGTTTACAGGAAAGAAATATACCTTGATTAAACTCATAGATACATACAATTTGGGAAAAACATACAAGCCTTTAAACAATTTGGTATTTAAGGTTCTTACCCCTGGTCCTCAGGGCGTCCCTCATGTTTTAGATGCGTTTCTGTTCCAGCACACCTGATTTAAATTACATTATTACCTCCTCAGCATGTCATCATCTGCAGAAGCCTCTTAATCACCTAATTTAAGTCAGATGTGTGTTGGCAGGGGAAGCCCTAAACCTGAAGGACAGTCGGCCCTGAGGACCAGGACTGAGAACCTCCAGTTTAAGGTTGTCACAATCTCTTCCATGTAGAATTCCACTTTATTTATAAATCATAAATCTTATAAATCTATGGCAAATGACTTTGCACTTGAGATAAAATTTGCAATAATTTTTAACATTATAAATACAAGATCATTTTTACATTAATCTCAAAAATTACACAGCATTTACTGCTTTCAAATAAAAATAGTACCTGGATACCATCATAATTAAATTGTCTATTGTAAAATTATCAAAATGTCTCTTTGTAAGCCTACAATATTTATTAGTGGATCAGTCAGCATTAGGTCTCAGGTCTGTTGCTGGAAAGTGTCTGAAACGGAACCTGGTACCTAACTGCAGATTATCTGTATTCCTGCACTGCTGGTGCAGTTGGGTGTATTTTTCAGATTTCTGTGGTCATCTTTCATATAGTGTAGCAATGATGTGTTTCAGTAATGTTCAGAGGAGCTCATACGCAAAGTTCGTTCTTCTGAGAAAAGTCAAAGACTGATGGATTCCTGCAGTTCCTGGAGAGTGGAACTGACCTGTGGCTGAAGGGGTTTCTGGCCAGGTTCAGGTGAGTCAGCTTGTAACAACATCCAGCAGACAGTGAAACAAATAGCTGCACGACACATTAGAATGAACAATTGTTACTGAAAGAAGAGGACGCAGAAACATTTCAGGACAAACTAAAAAATGGCAGAATATGTTGCTTGTTTTTCTCTGAAAGCTAGAAGTAAATTGGTAGCTGCAATATTTCTGCCACTCCTAGATTATGGCGGTGGTTTATATATGAATGCTTCGACCAAATGCCTTCAATCACTAAATACTGTGTATCATTGTGCTTTAAGGTTTGTAACTGGTAGCAGACGTCTCGCACGTCATTGTGAGTTGTATGCAAAAGCTGAATGGCCTTCTTTAAGCGTACGGAGAAACAATCACCTGATGATCCTGATTTATAAAACTCTACTCGGCTTGGCTCCAGCATACTTAAACTCTTTTACATAGATCTGTTAATTCCCATTCTTTACATTCTAACAGCATTTTTCATTTGCATGTTCCACGTTTCCGAACTGAAAAAGGGAAGCAAGCGTTTAGTGTGATGCTCCTTCAGCCTGGAATCAGCTCCAGTCTGAAATCAAGATGTCAGAATTGATTTCACTGGACTTATTTTGAGTGATTCTTAAAAACAGGCAATGAGATTCTACTAAACAGTGTCACTGTTTTTAAATAGTTTTCTACTGTTTTACACTTGTGCACAGGGGCGTGGTAAAGGGGGGGGAAAGTGATGATAATTCTAGGGGCCCTGACCAGCAGGGGGCCCTCCACAATTTAATTATTTGTATTTTGTTCACAGAAATAAAAAAAAAAAAATTGGGATCCTGTAAAATGCAAAATTAATCATATTGTATTTTCAAAGATTGTTTTCAGCAGTGAAATTTTAATGTTACCCCTCCCAGACCAAAAAACACACATCCGTTTTAGCCCTGAACCCCCCTCTGCATGAAATGGTTTGTTCCT